GAGAGAGAGAGAGAGAGAGAGAGAGAGAGAGAGAGAGAGAGAGAGAGAGAGAGAGAGAGAGCACACACACACACTGGTTTCCAAGTAAAGAAGACTGTGGTTCAAACACATCTCTGACACTACTAGTTGGGGAGGAGGCAATCAAGTCACTTCTCAGTGCCTCAAGGTACACTCTAAAACTAAAAACTGCAATATAGTTGCCTAGATGCATCTATAAAGGGAGTTGCCTCACAGATCTGCCCCCTCCCCAAATGTCCAGAAAGAGGCAAATGATAGTGTATACCCTGCAGAAGGCCTGGATTTGAACAGCATAAGTATCAGTACAACAAGAACTACAGTGAATGGGAAATAAGCTCATATTCCTGTGAAAAGGCAACCTACAAGGGAATCTTCCAGCTAGAGTCCAGAGCCTTCTAAATGCCCAAATAGGGCATTTTTATGTAAACCATCCTGCATATGCATCCTACAAGGTCACATAAATCTCTATGCAATTATAGATAAATGAGTGCACTTGGTCAGATTCAGGCCACAACCTGGCCAGTAAAATATTGCATGTAATTGGTCATTCAGTGAAATAGGGGACTTTCAAGCATTCTTGATGAAAAGACCAGAGCTGAATAGAAAATTTGACTGTGAAACGCAAGACTCAAGTGAAACATGGAAGAGGTAAACAGGATAGAGAAATCATAAGAGACTTATTAAGGCTGAACTGTTTACATTCCTGCAGGGAAAGATGATATTTGTAACTCATGAATCCTTTGTCAGTATTAGGGTAGTGGGAGGGGAAAAAATTATATGTATGAATAGACAGATAGATAGATAGATAGATAAAGGGCATAGAGTGAGTTGAAGATGAAGGGGTGATATCTGGAAAATAAAATTAAGGGGTGAGAGAGGATTATACTGGGAGAAGGAGAAAGGAAGAGGTAGAATGGGGTAAATTATCTCACATGAAACAGACAAGAAAAGGCTTTTACAGTGGAAGGGAAACGGGGGTAGGTGAGAGGGAATGAGTGAATCTTACTCTCATAGGATTTGGCTTAAGGAAGGAATAACACACACTCACTTGGGTATGGAAATCTATCTTACCCTACAGGAAAATAAGGGGGGAAGGGGACAAGAGAGCAGGGGGTTGATAGAGGGGAGGGGAGACTGGGGGAGGGGATAATCAGAAGCAAACACTTCAGGGAAGGACAGGGTCAAAAGAGAGAATAGAATAAATGGGGGGGGTAGGATAGGATGACGGGAAATATACTTAGTTTTTCACAACATGACTACTATGGAAGTGTTTTGCATGACTACACATCTATAACCTGTATTGAGTTGCTTGCCTTTTCAATGAGGGTGGGTGGGGAGGAAGGAAGGGAGAAAATTTGTAACCCAAAGTTTTAAAAACACATGTTAAAAAAATAATAAAAAAAAATATTGCATATAATTCCCCAGACCAAGGTCAGAGAGCAGTCATTACAGTGGAAGCCAAGAGAGACTGTTTTCTTCATCCTATCTTTCCCTATTAAGTCTTCCAGAAAATCCTCTACCTCCTACATAGCATCAGAGGATAAATTGGCCCTTCTCCCTGACAAGTTTTCATCCCCATTACTATCACTACTGATCACATCCTCTCCCTGTCACCTTGTTAGCTCTTTGAGGGTAAGGACTGTCTTGGAAGGAAGTTTTGTTTTTTTTTTTCAGTCCTCTTTCTGAAACTTGACAGTTCTGCAGCTTTTTATCCCAGTCACCTGGGCTAGGTGTTGGGGAGAGAGGGGAAAAACAAGGCCCCACCCTCAAGAAGTTTATATTCTAATGGGGGAAACAACATGTAATAACAAAATCCTCCTGCAGAAGGTAGGACTTCAGCTCAGTCCTTACAAACCAACTAGCAAACTTTAAGCTAGGGGACAGAGGGGAGGAGAAAGGGCATTCTGGGACTGATGCAGAAATAGGTACCATGGCACAGGAGACAGGAGATGGTGTGTCCTGGGCAAAGTCAGTAAACAGGCCACTTGAGCTGGATTACAGAGTGTGGAATAAAGAATAACAAAACTGGAAAGGAAGGAAATGATGGACAAGTTTTAAAGGGTTTTAAATATGAAATGGAGAATTTCCTAAACTTTAGGAAAATCATTTTGGCATCAGTGTGGAGGATGCTTACAGAGGGAAGAGACTTGAGGCAGGGAGACCAACCAGCAAACTACTGCAATAAGATAAGCAAGAGATGATAAAGGCTTGTACTAAAGCTGAAGCTATGTGAGTGGAGACAAAGGATGTATATGAGAAATGTTGTGACTATAGAAATAACAAAATTTTGACAATAGATTGAATAATGTGGAGTGATATAGTCAACTAGCATTTATTAAGTGCCTACTTACTATGTGCCAGAACTGTGCTAAGCACCAGACATACAAAGAAAGGTAAAAGACAGATCCTGCTCACAAGGAATTTATAGGCTTACATGGGAGCCAATATGCAAACAACTTGTAAAAACAAGATAAATACAGTAGAAATTGGAAATAATCAACAGGGGGAAGGTACTAACATCAAGGGGAATATAGAAAGACTTCCTGAAGAAGCTGATACTTTAGCTAGGACTTGAAAGAAAACAGGGAAGTTAGGAGGTGGAGATAAGCAGGGAAAGAGTTCCAAGAAAGGGGGACAACCAGTGAAAATACTAAGAGTGAAGAATGGAGAATGACATCAAGCTTGAGATCGTGGGTGACTGAGAGAATGGAAATGCTTTTGACAGTAACAGGAAATAAGCACATAAACACAAACAAGCAGGGAGTAGGGGGAGCAGCCAAGCGTTGAATCTTGCTCTCATCTAAATTCGGTCAGAGGGAAGAATACATATACACAGTGGGGTACAGAAATACATTTCACTCAACATGGAAAAAGCAGACAAAGGAGAGAAGAGGAAAAGAAAAATTAGAGGAAGGGTAGATTCACAGAAAGAGAAGTCCTAAACAAACTTTAGGCTATACAAAATTGTATAGCTCCTTTTGAGGTGGCAGAGAATGGGAATCTGAAAAGGGAGTGGCTGAACAAGGTATGGTATAGAAATGTGATAGAATACTCCCATAGGTTCAAACAGTATATATAGGTTCAAATAGCATATCTATGTAGATGATTCCCAGAATATATCCAACCCAAATCTCTCCCCTGAACTCTAGTTTTGTGCCATCAAATGCTTTTTGGATATCTCTAACTGAATGTCTAGTAGGCATCTCAAACTCAACAGGTCCAAAACAGAATTCATCTTTGTTTCATGAGCTGTCGTGACCAAAAAATTCATCACCAAGTAGCCAACCTACTCTGTAGTTAGCTAGTTTAATCCTTGGAAAACAGACTGAATTTGTGGTGGTGATGGTGTGTGTACCTTTTGCAAGGTACAGAGTTAAAAGATGGAATGCTGTATATGTGCAACAGCAAGCCATTTTGTTTGGCTGGAATGAGAGTGTGTGAGGGTCAGAGGAATTTATAGTTTATCCTAAATGGTGCTTTTGAATCTTCTTAAGCAAGAAAGTGCCATATTGAGATCTATGCCGTAGGAATAACAGTTTGGCAGCTGTGTGGAACATTGGAATGGAGAGGGAAGAGACTGGAAGCAAGAAAACCAATCAGAAGGTTTTTATGTTAGTCCAAATAAGAGATGAGTCCCATTCTTTTCTGTGGACTGAGGCGATCAGATTAGTTCACTTCTAGCCTACTCTACTCTTCAAGCTCTATAATCTTTTTATGATCTTATGATAATGACCTGAACTAGGGTGATAGCTGTATATGTGGAGAGAAGTGTATGGAATTAATGGATGAGATTTTGAGTAGATAGACTTGAATTGGTGACTGATTGTGAATGGGAGAATCAAGGAAAGTAAA